AGAAATATGTCAACCAAATGTACATTTCTAAAAACCCTTGTAGTTTTTTCAAATGTAAAGGGTGAAAAAAATTCTCCATAAAAGACACGATACATTTTATATATGTGATAATCACTAAATTAAAAATATAAATATTTTTATTAATTAACCATAAATTAAATTAAATTTACATAAAAATAAATGTAACTAATAAAAAATACCTCAATAGGTCTGCTTGATACTAAATCAGTATAACAACCTATGATAGAAAATCATGAAAGGAATAATGTCCAATCATTCAAGAACAATAAATTGATTGACTAAGCATTAACAAAGAAATCAACAATTTCATTATGGCAAAGAAGGGAAAAGAACAATTTCTTGCTCACACCTTTTGCATAGAAAAATATGAGGAACTTCTTCATCATTTGGAATTCTAACACATCTAGTGTGTTGCCAAATTTCACAAATATCACAAGATACCATTCTTTCCCCATCATCTTCTTTAGTTCCACAAGTGCAATCCACAACCCCCTTATTGGGATTCCTTTCACAAATTTGCTCAACCATTTCACTACCATGCCAACCTTCAAGAACAAGTTTTCCACCAACTTCAATCATTCCAAAAACCATTTCATTTCCTTTTGCATTCATCAAATTCTCATTTGATTCCACCACAAATCCCCTTAACCCCCAATAGATTTCCCTAAAATTTCTTTCAACTTCTAGCTTTAAGTCATTAATTGTAGCACAATTTTTCAATGTGATACATTCATAAGGTGGCATTGGCATTGACATTTCATTGTTCAAATAATACTCATGATCATGCCCTACATTGTTAACATTCCTCAACGAAATTGTACAATAAATATTGAATTTTCCTTCTGATCCTAATTCAACTTGCAAAGGTACCTCTCCATAGTCTTTGATAAGATACTTTGTGTCAAGAATTATCCTAGCTGCCAATGGTATTGCTGAAAGAAATTCTGACCCTATAATTGGTTTTGTATCAATAAGTATGTACTTGTACAAACAAATCATGTCTTTCATGAGTTGACCTCTTGTGATCTTGTACTTGTCCTTAACTTTATTACTACTACTCATAACCAACCCTTCATGACAAGGGTAAGCATTAGAAATGTCTTCTAAGCAATACTCCAAAACTTTGGTAACCGGATTCAAGCTCCGACGAACTAAATAGTTTCCAACAACATGGTTACCTAATGACTTCAAAACAAAATCCAACAAACCAGTGTCACCTATGTAAACGCGCGCTGCATCCCTAACTTCTTGTCTTGAAATCCATCGGAATTCCGTTCTTTTTAAGGCCTCGACAATGACCCTCGTTGCCATTTCAATTCTTTTAGGCGACCAACGACAGTTTGTTTCGACTAAGGAATTTGTACTGTAGGAACTAATGCATGTTTCGCGCGGAAGCCGCGACTTGAGCTCTAACATGTAATGAAACAAGTCACCAAGGGTTATAAGAGAATGGTCAGAAAGTGTTTGGTACCTTGAGAAGATTAATGGGATTTCATGATTTGAACTCGCAATATGGTGAGTGAGTAAGTATAGTGGCATACTTTTTATTGCTTCTATGGCTTTTTGGTACATTGATTGTGTTACACCAAAACATCCTCTACCAAATTTGTATCCCCAACGACCAAACCATGGCTCACTATATGCTACTCCATTCACAAGTCTCAATTCCATGCCTCTTTTTTGTGATGTATCCTTCAAGCTCACTTTCCTATTATATTTGGTACATATTAAGCATTTAGTCTTTGCATAGTTATTTCACATAGTAATTAAAGGATGCAAATTTCCTGTAGTCATTAATGCATGCTTTTACGTATTGGTTACATCGGTGACCGATTGATCAATATCAAATTATTTAAATTTAAATTTTATATTTTAAATTATTATTAAAAAATAAGAAACATATTTGTGAATCATACGTCTCAATCGAACGGTCACTAATACACTGAATGCATGCATTGGTGTCGAAATTAAAAGTGTGTGGAAATGGACTAACCTTGCTTGCAATCCATTGCACAAACGATTCCAAAACTCCATGATTTGGTTGCCACCCAAATTAGAACCCATTTCCAAGCCATTGACACATAGCAAATGTCCAAATCCATTAGAGTGAAACACACCATGCATCATATGGCCTTCTAATTCTATTAATTTTGACTTACCATTGTTCATTGTACCAATTGAATCACAACAATTTTCACAGCTTGTGCAGCTACTTAGTGCCTCCTTTGAAGGTAATAGAAAATGATACTTCTTATTGCAAATAAAATGGTTGCCCCAACCTAAATAAATCCCAATGAAAATTATGTAATTAAGATTATAATAGTATTCAGCCAAAATAATATGGGTTAAATAAAACAATTTATTTTGTATATATTTTATACATTCAGATTTTTGTCAGGTTATTAAAAACTTTCCATTTTTATCATAATCATTTTTAAAGTGTATTTGTTTGGTGGTTCAAATTTTATCAAATTCAATATCAAAGTCAGTGAATAGTATTTAATTTGGATTAAGTATTTAAACCTTAATATTAATGTTAAAATTAAACTAAATAAATATGTTCATTATTTTATTAAGTCAACTCAATTGATAGTTATATAAAAATATTAGATATTAAGACACAATTTCGAATTCGCTATATATCATTTATTCACCTTTAACACATATTAAAATAAACATTTGTAAAAAAAAATGGTGATTTAATAAATTCAAACATAAATTTTTACACAATATTTTCACCATTTATCAAAACTTCAATTTTTATAATTAATAAAAACTATAATTCTAGTAAGAAAACATGTATACTAAGGGTTAATTTAGACAAATTTATATAAAAAAAATAAAAAATAATGTGACATATCAAAGGATTGGATTAGTAGGTTCAAAACATCATTTGATTTGAATGGATTCGGCTTATGTCGGATTTTGAAGCTAAAAAAAAAATTTGATTAATAAAATCATGTATAGTAAATCATGTGACTTTAACTAAGTAACTTTCTAAAAAAAAATAAGCCAACTTTTCGTAAGCTAATTAGAATGCAAAATGAACATTCTACTATATCTAATTACACATTGCAAACCAAATATTAAATTAATAAACATTACCAACATATTGACAATGGTTGCAATGACGATTCATGGCTGCTTCAATTGATTCTTCAATCACAAACAACAAAACATGCAAGGGTGGATGATGATGCAACTCAAGTTGAAAAGACCACATAGCCATTCCCATATTTACATTACTCTCCAAATTCGCATATTCAAGCAAAGCATTCACATTTTCGCGAAAAGATGAACCATTAAACATAACAGGGTAACCTTGTTCCCCGAAATTCTTGAACCTAAAAACCCTCCCACATCTTTTCCTTCTCTTGTTACCAACAACATCAACATTCAACATTGTACTTTTTTGAGGAAAAGAATGTTGTTTCAAGAGTTTCTAACATGTTGGAACCAAAGAGAAGTGTTATATATAGATTTATGTTATGTTTTATATAGTCACATGTACACTCACACACTTAGTGCCTTGAAATAAAATTGGACATATTAAAAAAGAGTTGCAATTTCTATATGCATGACTTGTTTCAAAATTGGATTTCCTTGAAATTTTATCGTAATAACCTACGAAATGGTTGGTGTTTTGATTTAAATTATAGGTACCATGCAATTATAGCCTCTTATGTTTTCCTACTAATTCTATGGTCAATTTTTTGAGTAGTTGATTCTTTTCTTATAGGATTATAGGGAAATGCAACATTTCTTGTCTAACTACCGTTTTGGAACATAATTTTGTTAATTAAGTTGAACTTGTTGTGCATTGGTTTGTGCAAAGAGATCTTAACATTAATTAGTGTTAAATAAAACTTATTGATTATATATGGCGTTTGTGCCAAGGGTGTTTTTCATCTAACTTATTTTATATGTGGAACTCTTGTATGTTGTGGTTAGGGTAAAATCCAAAAATGGCTTGAAAGTTGAGTTTTAATTATAATGATGCTGGTGAATCTTGTATTTCACAAAGAATTGCATATAAAAACATTTTAGCAACACTTATATTATTAAGAACTTTCTATATCCTCCAACATGACTTGCATACTTTCAAACAAAATATGTTGTCTAAAAGTACACTTTTCAAATATTTTCAAATATGTGATTTTTTAGAAATATTGGTGTAGAAAGTTTCTCCAAAACAGTATTGTTACATATACCATATCTAGTCCAAATAAAATTTGAACCCTAGTCCAATAAACTCATGTTGCAATTGTAATTTAACATTTGGCAAGTCTAATGCACATACACCGGAAACACGTAACAGACATACGCTTTGGTGTCATACAAGTGTCAGTGTCGGTTGCTGACACGAACACACCTTTTTCCGAGGTGTTGGTACTACATAGAGTCTAACAAGTATCATAAGACCACATTAAAGGTTTGTGTGAGTAGACTTCCCTTCAATTAAAGGAGAGTAACAAAATATTAGCAACATACTCACTGCCACAATCATATATGATTAATAAGTATTTAAATTTTAACCATCGAGAATAAATGTGAGTGAATGAGTGTTTCTCTTTGCAATTAGCAATTTGCAAATATCAGTTGAGTTTTTTTAATGGTACAAAGTTGGGTACAATTACAAAAGATCACATAACATTGGTATATTCTGTTGAAGGATGCAACATCCAATTCCACAAGGCAATTCCCTAGGCTGACTTGTTCCACTTCTTGCCTTACTGTTCTTATCTGTAACCAGTATATCGAGTGGCGTAACACAAAATTAAACTTACTACTCTACACTATTTCCTCAATCTTCACATGCTGCATCCAAATCAAATGTTGTACAATCTCAACCCAACTAGCATGGCCTTGATGGTATGACGCAAGCAGCAATCAAGTGAGAAATGATAAATATTTTCGTCAAAATCACATCAGCCATGTATGTGTATACAGAGAATCCAGATCTGATCTACTATCAAGCATTACCTACAAACTCGTGTAGTTATATATCGTCCCTTTTCTAGGTCATAAATTGTCTTCAACTGAGGTTTCCTCCACCTAGATATAGACCATGCTGTAAACAACAATATTATAAAAATTCCAACAGGTGTGAGGAGAGTGGGTGACTCATTGCTGAAAATGGCGGCAATCCAGTTATGGTTATGTGGATCTGGATCTGGATCCGCTGTAGTAGTTTGCAGAATAAAAGCTCCCAAAGCCCAGTCAAGCGGAACATTTCTCACCTGATTAGCAACTTTGATCCTGCCCAACAGTGATTCTAATCAATTAATATTCAACCAAGAGAGACACAAATAAATTGACTTGAGAAAACCAAAAAACATAGATGCAATCCCAATCCCAGAAATGGACATGTGAAAGTGCAGGCACACAAACTGATTAGGAGTAATTCCACTCAATTAACATATTTTGGATCAATGTTGTGAAATTCAGAGAGATGCCTGTATATTTACATATTATGAAAAGTCATAGTTAAGAAAAATAGTCTTTATTCACAATATTAAACTTATCTTAAATTGAATAACAGATTAAAAGAGATATTCAAATATAATTTTGTATTTAAGTTTATCAATTAATTAAGATAGAAGTAAACAATACTAAAAGGGAATAGTCACAATCACAGCACAGAAAGGGGTGTTTGGATAGCAGGATCATGCAACCCCACGGGGTATACTCACAAAAGCTTACCAAAATATTGTTATGGTTGCATGATATTGCACTACAGAAAAACTAATGGTAACAAAGTCAAGTGATTATAAATGTGGCAACTGGAGTGAGAATTCTCTATAAGCCATATCAAAGACTAGATCCATCTGGACGTCACAAAATTTCAGGGAAATTATGCTTACTACCCAAGATGTGGGAAAACTACACATGATATTGTTAGACTTTAGAATTACTAGGAATCAAAACAGAATGTGGTTGTTCTAATTCTATCAATTCTGTCAGTTACAAGCATATGAGCAGCCTTATTAAATGTTATCTGTAGCAGTTAGAGAGCCTAAGAGCAGCCATTAGAATTATTAGAGTAACAATTATTATTATTAGGAGCAGTTACAAAACTTAGGTAGAATAAAAAGGAAAACAGAACCATGTTTTAGGAGGCTGAAAATTAGAAAAAGGTTATATTTGGGAGGGAGAGACCAAGCTCTCGAATTCTTGGAAGGGAGAGAACCAAGACTCTCGAATTTCTTGGAAACTCATTGTAATTACTATTCACTTTTATTGTTTGATAATCAGTTTCTATCAACTGGTATCAGAGCCGTTCTGATCCAAAAAGATTTTGCCAGTGTGCTGGAAATTTTGGTATGAATATGGTTGCAGATTTGATTCCAAGATTTGATGGAAGGGAGGCCTATTGGTGGCTGATCCAGGCTGAGCAATATTTTGGGTCAAGAATGAGTGAAGAGATGAAGCTTGAGTGGGCTGTTGCATTTGCATTGAGAGGAGATGCTCTTGATTGGTGGATTTCTTGGAAGAAGAGTCATCCAAATACTTGTTGGTGGAATTTTGTAAAGGCCATTCTCAAGAAATTCCAACCAGAAGTTTGGAATTGTCTACTGGAGTCTGAAAACGAAACACAGGAAATCCAAGGCAGCAGTGAAATTCAAGAACCAATAGCATTACCAACTGAAGAAAAGATTGATGGTAAAGTTGATGACTCACAAATCCAACAAATCCAACAATATAGTGAAAAAGAAGTTTGTAAAGTGGATATCAAATCTGATTGTGAGAGCGACGAAGTGAAAAATATAGATTCATTGATGGCCGCTAGTGAAGCAAAGGTCCAGAGAAGTGACAGAGAGTTGGCTATTTCATCACATGCAAAGTCTAACAAGAAATTTCCTAAGATAAAGTCTAGGAACAAGAAATTTCCACTAGCGGTGCCACTGTGGCCACAACAAGTGGTCACGAGAGGGCTGCCATTAGCAAGCAAATTTGATCCTGGGGGAAAATTTCTTATTTCATAACTTTATGTTTCAAGTTATGGGATCCAGGAGGATACATTTTTTCTATTGTGTATTCCTTTCACCTTGAGGACAAGGTGAATCTTTAAGCGGGGAGTATTGTTAGACTCTTCAATTTCGTAACTGTTATTAAATTATTATGAGTTAGTGGGTAATTATTAGAATTATTATAATATTAATTCAGAGTGTTTAGGCCTAGAATAAATAGGGGAAAACATTGGAGAGTTGATCATCTTGGAATTGGATAGGAAAAAGGGCCATTTTGGTATTGGGAGGTGCAGACCCTCGAAGTTCTGCGGTATTATTCTGTAAATCAAAGGGATTTTCCCTATTTTCTTTTATATATAAGTTGGTTTCTATCAGATATCTACCTTGTTTGCATAACTACACAGCCTTCCCTTAGGCTTTGTTTGGATATTTTAAAATGAACAGAACGGAGCGGAATGAAACAGGTTATTCATTACATTGTTTGGGTGCCTTATGACGGGGCAGAACATATTTTACACTCCACTGTTTGGAAAGTGGATGAAATGAGCTATAACTTTTTTATTCCACATTTACCTTTATTTGAAAAACTCTACCACCATTGTCTTTAATTATAAACTCCTTTTATATTTATATTTATATTTACAATTTTATGATAATGATTTTTATTATGCATATTCAAATAAACATTTTACAATTTTAAAAAAATGCAACTATTATCAATCAAAATAGCGCGGGCACAGACCAAAAAAAGAGTATACTTTAAAATCACTTCAAAAAAATAGTCTAAAGTGAAAGGCACAAGCTTGCACACCTAGGCTAGACCCCCACTCCTGATATAAAATTAAGAAAGCCAACAAATATCGTATTTAATGAACACAAAGGCAATGAGATAACCCCTCTACTAAAACCAAATCACCAAATCCTATGAACCTGCAATGCCTTATTGCAACTCATATTACTTCCACTTTTAGTGAAGATAGTGATTAAGTTAAGAGGTTGAGATTTAGTAGATAACTAGCATGGGTAAAATAGTAATATGTTAGTTATAAAATTAAATCAATTAACCATTCCATTCTGCCCAAATTGGAGGTACAAAAAATTGAGGTAAACAGGAATGTGATGGAACAAATGTCATCCCTCTCCATTCCATTACTTTTTTTTAATATCCAAACAATGGAATACTATCCCATTCCACTCCATCCCACTCGATTCCATTTCTTATCACCAATCCAAACATAGCCTTAATTTATGCATTCAAGCCATTGATACCCTTATACATAACATGCCATTAAAAGTAAATCAATACTAGTATTACACATTTTAAATAAAATAGGTTAAATGAAATGAATAACTCCATTTTTAATTAAACTAGGATTAATTTTCCATTTTTTATTCTCTACCCTTTTTCTACCCGAGCCACATTCACAAACTAACAGAAAGCTGGTCAACGTTGAAGCTTCCATCCATTTACCATATACCAACAACATAGCTATAAAATACTAACTGCTTCATTCATGCACCAAAACAACAACAAATTAAAACCTCCATATAACTCATTGAAGCGTCATCCTCTTTGATATCAAACAACAAAGCCTCAACAGGAATCAACAATTTTGTCAACTCCTTAAAATACCCAAAATGACTTAATTTGTTGCACCATAATTAACATGGACATGCACCATAAACAATGACTTCCCGTGTATCAAACTGTAACTAACTACTGGTGTACTATATATTATGTGCATTTAGAGAATGCATTCCTTTGTAAGTTGCAACTAACTAAGTGTACTCAGTTAGTTAGAGAGCCCTAACTGACAGAATCTGAGACTGGCACTCTTATATAAGGAGTAGCAACCCTCATTTGTAATCATTCAAGCAATCAATAGTGTTAGATTTGTGCGACACTCATAGATTTAGTGCAGAGAATGAAGAGAATTCTTTAACTGAATTTCTCAGTTTTCTATATAATGAATTCTGTGCAATTTCACTGCAATTGATTTATTTATATATCAGAGGATAGCTCAAGATTCTAACTAACTTCTGTTAGTAGTTTTGTGATTTTAAGGAATTAGAGACATAGGGGGATACTGTACACAAGTGTATAGAAATTACAATACAGCACAGCTAGTCTAAGGCTATCTAGGATGATCTTGACTAACCTATTATTAGTAGGCACCATTTCTTTTAATAAATAGAAATTCAGAAACTGAATATTCTCAAATAATCACCATCACTGATTCAACCACAAAAATAACTTTGTTAAGCCAACAGCTATCAAGACAACAGGCTCTTTTCAAGTTCTTCATTTAGGACGATGGAGATATGGGAGCTCCCCACTGAGGCTTGCAGAAGTGGGTTCCAAATACCAATACTGACATGAAGAACTTGAAAAGCGTTTGAATTGAATAGCCTTACTCTTCCCAATAGAGCTCCTGTTTGGTGAACATCCCCTTCCACCACCTGACCCAGTTGCAATTCATCAACAGCAACCAACAAATCTTTACCTACAGTGTCACAAGCAAGTCGGAAGCGTCTATTACTCTCCCTCAAGCCAGACACTGCACAACAACCAACAATTACTCTACCCTTCAGACCATAGCTAGCTGCACCAGCAACTTCCTTGAACCCTCATCTGTTCATCAACTTTCTTTCTATGGTTGGGTTTCATATGACAGGAAAGAATAGGTAGAGGGTTTCATTAGAGATTCAAGATGTGGGTACTATAGTGTTTTTCCGGCATTGAATAGGTGTTTACAGAGGGTAATTAGGAACATTCATATTTAATATATTTTACAAACAAATGAATCCGGTTCACATTTATCAGTGCATTTGGTATCAGTGTGTTATGTTTAGTAGAAATAGAGAAGAGAGAAAGAGCATATTCCCTGTTGCTTAGTATGCAAAGAAATGGATAATATAGAGATAAGACAGCAGGGCCTGCACCTATCTGTATCCTTTCAACTTCTGAGGAGCAATGCCACAGAGATGGAGCCTCTGTTTTTTTTTGCTTTATCCATTTCTATCCCTGGCTGGCAAATCACTGGACTTGACTTTGGATATTTTTTTCTTCATTCTGTTTCCAACGTGTTGGCTTTGTTTAGTTTTGTTTTAACTGCTTAATGGTTTAATAAGTATACAGCACACCGGCTTTTCCGATGACTAACCTCCGCTAGAAAACCTGACTGGCCACCTTTAGTAGGGGGGTCTCCCCTCCCAATCATGTTATTTTCATCCATAAAATTTGAACCCGAGACCTTGCTTAAGAGATCCAAATCTAGTTTTACTGGACCAAAGTATGCTTGTTAATTAAATTGGTTTAACAATGTAATGAAATTAAACTAATGCAATCAATTGATTGATTGAATCAATTGAATTTATTAAGTTAAACAAAAAATTAATTTATGTACGAGGAGAAATCAAATTCAAATAATATAAAATTGTATATTGTTTTTTTTTTAATTTCTTTACCACTTTCACGTTATCAAACTTTGTTACCTATTTCTCTCCCCCACTTTTTCTCACATAACATAACAACCAAACATATTCGAAGGGAGGCTAATGTGTCACGCATGGGTACAAGCAAGAAGGGTATCATGTATAACTACACCAAACTTTAGGAAGATATGGTACTTCGCCCTAAATTTGTTGTCTTTGTGTAGGAATGGGTCAGAGTGTTCCACGCAAATAAGGGAATAGTATCTATTTTCACACACTATAAATATCTTAAAAGAAAAGTACGTGGGAATACCTCTCATCATCCATACCAATCCCAAGACTGTCATGAAGCAGAGCAACAATGTACGCAGAAGAGAAGCAATGTCGAAGTAAATCTTCCTCATCGTGGGAGACATACTTTTTTTTTAGCCTTGACCAATCCTCTCCACAATATTTTTGCCCAGCAGTCATCAAATTGGAGAGATAAGCCCGTGACCCCAATCCAAAAAACTAATACAGCACAAAAGAATTAAGAATCAGTGTACATTATGTATTCAATGAACTCAAATATAAAAGCAAAAACAAGTAAATACAAAGTCAGCCACAAAATTATCTTTTCTGTTTATTTAATTTCCTATTAGAACTTGTATTTGTTGAAGAGTATTTTGAAAATGATATAATGCTCAATATGGCAAAGTTAGTTTTTTTTTTTCATTATAACATGGTGATGTTAATTGGAATTTGCTTATATAGTCTACCAAACACGACTTCTTTTTTGCTTGTAATTGAGTCGAGAGGGTGTATTATCAATGTTAGAATTAATTATGCGTGTAGATATTCTAGAGTGATTGTTAGTATTCCTAGACTAAAGAACTTCCAAGGTTAGTGCATATTCATTAAGGTTCAATGTATTTATTGTAACATTATTATAAATATATAAATTGTGATCTAACTTGATACACACAGAATTTACAGAATTCATATGGTATCAGAGCAAGGTAGGGTACGAGTGAGTTTAATGATGGATATTAAATTAAATGGACAACCAGGGACATAACCTTGTGTCTTACAAAGTAGCAGTCGATCTCTATGTGCTTCTTAGTTCTTTCATGAGAAATCATAACTGATTTTGTTGGTTCAAATGATCAATTGGCTGACAGATTCACTAAATCTCTTCGAGGAACCTGGGTTCAATCTATTTGTAACAAGCTTGGTGCATATGACATGTATGCTAGGAGGAGTGTTTGAATTAATTATGAGTGTGATATTCTAGAGTGATTGTTAGTATTCCTAGTTAAAGAACTTCCTAGGTTAGTGCTTATTTATTAAACTTCAATGTATTTATAGTGTTTGCACTTCACCTTGGGTCAATTCGGAAACAGCCTCCTTGTTACACAGGGGTCAGGCTGCATACTATCCGACCCCCCCTTACCCCGCTTAGGCGGGACCCTCTTCGTAGGCATTGGGGCATGTTGTTGTTGTTGTTGTTGTTGTTGTATTTATGAGCATACACTTTCTTATAGTAATTTGATATATTTTTGTTTTATAATTAAGTTGAAATTTTGAATTATTGAAGAATTTATAGTATTGTATAAGTGAGTATGACATGTATATAATAATTTTAATATAAGGTAAACTCGTATGAGTTTACGAGTCATTCTACCAAGGCAAATCGAGTTGTCATAAAATTTCAAGTTTGACAACCTTGGTTGTAAGGAAACAATAGAGTTGTGGATTATGGTACGTTAATATCTCTCCAACGCATCTATTTTTAGGGTAACAAAAATGCACAATCATACTAGATAGTAGACGAGAAAACAGAAAATGAAGCTTAAAATATTAACCCCCAATAACTAAAAAGCATAAAAAGAACCTTTGATGTGTGAAAGAAATTTTCTGTAGCCAAAAATTTCCCCTGAAGCTTAGGTATAAAAGTTGATCCTATGTCGCAATGCTGATAAGAACACGATTCTGCAAAATTAAAAATGAAATGACCAACTATTAGACAAAATCAACGACGAGGAAAATCTCAATAAAAGGGAATCTAACAATACAAAATTAGTAAAAGTGAATACAACCTTTCCCCTTTTGTAATAGGGTCAATGCTGCAGATCTACACGCCGAAAAGTTTCCCCTTGTTTGGACAGTGTGCTGATATTGGCTTTCTTCGCTATGTGAGCTAGGCGAGGACTTCCACAAATCCACATTATAAGAGTACCCTGCCGGAGTACAAGGATCTATGTACAGCCCATCCTTAATATATTGAGAAGCTGCACTGAGGAGAATAAAGAATCAATGCCAAATCATTTTAATTTCTAAAGAGATCATGTGATTATGGTGCAAGTGCAAGCCTGCAATTAGTGGTTAAAAAAGAGAAGGTCGCCTCCTAGTGAAAAAATTGACATAAAAAAAATAAACGAGGCTTAGCAGAACTAAAGGATTGCATATAGTCATCAAATACATCAACATATTTTGCCAAAATTATGTAGACAAATTTAACATTCTGTAAAAAAAATTTACTGTTCACAATATAGACAGAGAAAGTACTTCACATAAAAATATAAGAAGAGCATGTCACAATTGTTCACCCCTATAAACTTTGAAAAATTCACCACATCTGAATAAGAAATATGCTACAATGCTTTCATAATATTTAATCCAGAATGACTTTAATAGCAAATAGAATATTGTTAATTAACTTTTCAAATATTTCATGGTAAAAAAATACTAGTAACTCTTTTAAGAGTTATTAAATGATTTGAAACTGCAAAACCAAGCATAAATTATAAGAACAATAAAGCATGGTAATTAAGTTCAAAGGTCTCTTAAATTCAGCAAGTGTAATTACCCAGGTTTAAATCTCCTGATAAAAGTGCTTCTCTCCATGAGTCATGAGCAACATTCTACAAAATGAATAACAATCAGAAAGTATCAAATACTGTGGTGTTATTCCAAATCTAGAACACATGATCAGCCATATGACTCGCACAGAGAATCACATTGAAATAAAAGAAACCAATAAGAACTAATGACCTTGTAATATGGGTAGGATATTAAAGCAATAAAAGTGTGAACATTACCCCACTTATAAGTTACAACATCAAAACACATATTTCATAAGTTGTAGTAATTCTTTTCCAGAGGAATGTCATTGGTAACTTGTGATAAAGAATCCAGTACATCGGTAGACACAAGCATTCTAATGAGCCTTAAAAAAAATACTTAAAACAGAAAAGATATAAATAATCACCAGCCCAAAATGAAGCAAGCTGTGGCTGTAAAGGTTGTAAGTGATATTCCCAAATTTAACAGTGCGCGAGAACAAGGGCAGCATTGCTTCTCTTGATACAAAGGTTACCTAACATAAGAGTAAGTAGAAATCCATTTGTCACGCTTCCAAATATGTACATCTTTATCTAAAACATAGGCTTTAAAATTAAAACTCCTAAGCAATTGCGCTCAAATTGTGAACAATTACATATTGATATAACTTGGATATATCCAAAATGAAAATTATGATCTTAAGTAATCAGGAAAAAATGAAGTCTTACCTGAGCAGAAGCACCACCGAGTTCAATAATCCCAGTTGTCTCAGACGGATCACCTCCAAGAGTTCCCAGTGCATAATTAGCAACAACCCAAGCATACACGCCTTCATCAGAACCTGTAAAACCACAATAAAATAACAAGTTAAAACAAAGTTGCATAAACCAGATCACCAATTAATGTAGACACTGACAAACTTAAAACTACTAAAAAAAACTTCAAAAATAAGATGGATGAAGGAGAAAACAAAAGAAGCATCGCGTTTAAGTTATGATGATGCAAACACCAAGAATATTGGCATGACAACAAGCCAAACTGTGAATGAAAAAAAAAGTGAAAGAGAAGATAGACAACTAGGTTCACTCAGTATATATCGGCCGATATTTCCGCCATAATCCGCAATAACGGCACCACAAAGCGGACGGTATGGAGGGACTTTGGCTCTCCGCCATCGACAACGCAACACTGGGTTCGCTACATTGTAAATCCTTGAGGTATCCACAAGCATTCTCTCTCACCATTCAATCTTACGCAAATATATTTTCTTCAATCAATTCGTCAAAAAAACATTCCATTTGGCCATTCTCCCTCTCTGCCTTGTACATTCTTCCTTTAAAATAAACAGCCACATTCTTCTTCAATCTTCAAACCCAACGCCATTGATATATCATACTATACACACTATTGTAACATCAATTATCACCCGCCAGCATGAGAATCCTGCTTCTTGCCGAGTAAATTAACAAAGCCCCGTTTCATAAACACCAACAACAAACTTAATCCCTCTTGTTCTTGGATAATCAAACAGATGATGAAGTGTAGAGACATTATAGCTACTGACCAGAACTGGACTCAAAATCTGCAGAGTGAGAAATTTCACACTAGGGAGAGCTATAAGAATCTCAGGGGTGATGGAGGCCAAGTAGATTGGAAAAGGTTTTTCTTCCATAATTCAGCCAGACCTAGAGCCAAATTCCATCTGTGGCTTGTTCTCTTGGAGAGAATCCCTACAAAAGATAGACTTCAGAAATTTGGTGTGCAAACAGACCTGAAGTGTGTTTTCTGTCAAAAAGAGGAAACAATAGATCATCTGTACTTTGAGTGTAGAGTTAGCAAATCAATTTGGGAAAAAATTCTGAATTGGATTGGTTATAATAGAACTTGTAATAATTGGAGGCTTGAAAAAGAGTGGGTCAGGAATGAAACAGGGAAAAAAGGTTGGAGGAGACGGCTTCTTAAGAGTGCAGTTGCTGAAACTGCTTACACAATCTGGACAGCTCGCAATGATCATATTTTCAATGGAAAGCAAGTAGCACTTGATAGTGTGCAGCAAATTCAATATATCCTGGCTATTAGGAGTAGCTCGCAGAAGAGTCTTAAGCAGCATGTTAATGTAGAGAACCTTTGTGTTTTGTAGGTTTTTTGGTGTTTTGGGGTTTGGTTGGTTAGTATCCTGAATCCTTATAGGATTGGTCTGTACTGAATTGTTTTTGAGGAATAAAATTTTTCTATTCTCCAAAACTTAATCCCTCTAATCTCAAATATAAACAAAAACATTCGTAATAGTCTCGCATATAAACAAATTTAACTGCTTTCACTCTATTTAGAAATATCATTCCTAACATACCTCTCAATTAACCTACGCTTTAGTTTTCAATGAATCTTTAATTCCCATAAAACAGGTTTAAGTGAAGAACACTACTCAAAATACACTGATTTGTATGAGATCAAGAAGATTAACTCCACTAAACTAAAATTCTTAACAAGTGTAAAATCTCTCATTTTCAAAATTTCACAACCAATTGATTCACCTCAACAGTTGAATCAAAAAGCTTAATAAAATAAAGTTAAATAACATAAAGTAAGCAAATTCAAGTTCAGCATATAAAAAATAGAACCTGTTATAACAGAAGCCCAATCATCACTAAACTTGAACCCAGAAGAACGCAAAACCCTCCTACAAGACTCTAGAATATTCTCCTGCGCTTCAACCTCCAGCATCCTCATTCCCGCCGTAGCCATAAGCCGAATCTCCGTCTCCCTCCACCTCTCTTTCGGAATCCGGCTTTTCGCAAACTCCACCAGCTCCGCCATCGAACTCCCCGCTCCATCCGTATCCTCCGCAAACGAGGATAAACCCGGATTCACTCTCATCGTAACCACCCCCTTTTTCCCAAAATCCAACGCGTTTTTAACCCTATACTTAAACACATGAACCCTAGTTCCCGTGCTTCCACCGTCGATGATTATACTGTAGCGGAAACTGTTTCGGGTGCTGATTCTGGCTCCCGATGATGAGAAGAAGGTGTAGTATGAAAGGATGAGGAGGAACGAGAAGAAGAGAGGAGCGATGAACGAGGTTTTGAAACAGAGGCACTTTGAATTGCTGTTGCTGTTGTTGTTGCGAGCGAAGAGGTTTGTGGAGCGGATTTGGATCCGTTTCACGGTTGGATCCATTGGGTTTGGATTTGAGCCGGCGCGATTGCGAGCATTCAATCGTCGCATCAAATGGGATTCAGAAGATGGAGGAGGAAAGGGGGATTGTTGATCATGTCAGGGGAGGGAGGTGTGGCGGAGATGTTGGCGGCGGTGGTGGCTCTGACCTCTCCCCAGGCACAGCGGAGAGAGAGAGGAGAGAAATTTGCGGGGTGGGAGAGACAGATTTAACGCGTGTTTGTCATTTTAAATTTGAGTGGTTAAATTGTTTTTGGTTGAAAATTGTAAGTAGCTGTATAATATATCACCCGAGCCATTCTTATTTATCAATTTCAAAATGCCGTGTTAAATTATTCATAAAATCAAGTGTATTTAATTTTGAATTATTGAATATTTGATTAAAAATGATAAAATTAAATATTATTAAAATCTTCAAATTTTTGTGATGGAAACAGAAGATATGGTTCTTTTGGGAGCTTATTGAATTAATGACTGAGGTAATAACATGTTATGTTAGATGTTTTTTCAAGTAGTGTTATCTATATCAAAGACAATGATATCAAATAAGAAATTAGTCAATGAAACATTAAGAAGGAGCAAAGCGATGATGCTACTTGTAATATGGTGGGAAAATTGACTTTTGGATTTTGCGTTTTATCGTAAATGTTGTGGATAGCAAGAGTCGTCACCGGCTTTTCTTTTATCCAATAAAGAAAATGGTGAAAAGAATATGAGAGACTTTTGAGAATTTTCTTGAGTTCGGGGGTAGGCTATCAAAAGAGAAGGTGTTAGCACCTTTTTCTTATCTACGGATTCTTAATTGTTAGCTCACTTTTTGGAAATGCTTTATGTTTTGTGTATGTTTGAGAATATTTTGAAAATGTCTAAGTGCGACAATTTTGTAATGATTCTCGTATCGTTGAGAATGTATACAAAATGTTTGTCTTGAAAATATTTGTGAAAGAATGTGTTGTTTTGTGAAAAAAAATGTTTTGAAAATGTCAATGTAAGGCAATTTGTTTTATAATAACACTTGTATCAGTCCTCAAAAGTGTTTATAAAGTGCTTTGAAAGTAATTGTTTTGAAAGTGTGAGGTGTGAAAATTGTTTTAGTTTGTGAGCAAGCGATTACGAGCAATCTACCTACTCAAAAAGTATTTTGTTCTTTTCCTCCTCCTTTAGATGATGTTATCATACTATTAGTTAGTGGGAAGCCCTACCATTGGATGTGAGGGACAGACGCAGGTTATCATACAGTCATAGAAGGCAACTTGTAGGACGCTTTAGCAATTGTCGTAAGGGACTAAGATCGTTTACTGAAGACAATATCGAATGGGTCATCGAGGGACTACGATCTTTTAACCGAGGGTATTTGCTAAAACATCTCATGTTCGAGGGACATGATTGTTTTATGCGAAGGCAATAAGTGAGATTACCCTAGAGGTCCGTGTGAGTAATATTTTGATTTCAGTTAATTTATCTTGGATTTATGGTTGTCTAGTGTTTGATTTTAAATTTTTCCATACAATCCTATTAAACTAACGGTAATAAGAAAAGCAGTAAATTGCATAAATTAAATGTCATACACTATTACAATATTTTGGAGATGGGGGTACAAATTTATGAATGGGGATGGAAAATAATAAACCCAATTATCTATTACAGACCATAAGCAATTGCATAGTTAGAAAAATACGAAATAATAAAATACGCAAGAAATGTAAAATAAAGAAAAGAGAAAGGAAATTATTTTTGTGATTTTTTAATAAAGAAAAGGTTTGATGATTAACCTAATTTATTTGATTAATTTACATTAAAAAGAAAGTTTAGTGAAAACCTAAAGAAGTTAAATTAAATTTAATAATAATTAAAAAAAGTCAATTGAATTAATTAAAAAAGAAAGATGATTTAGTTAACTTAATTAAAAAAATCTAAGTCTAAATTAATTTTAATTTAAAAAAGAAACTAATTGTTAAAAAATATTTTTGATGTTTTGTTTGTTTAGAAAAAATAAATGAAGTATGAAACTTAATTTAAACAATAAAATAAAAGTGAATTAAATTGAATTAATTTTATTTATCAAAAATTAAATTAATTAATAAAATATTAAATTTAAATTTTTTAATGATTTTAATAAAGTTAATTAAAAAAGAAAATAAATTATTAAAAAAAATGAAATGGGCTTGAGTTGAAAAGAAATTTGAGGTGTGAAAAGAAAAAAAATGTTAGGCCCAAAATAGTTTTTTTGTTTGGAGCAGAAAATAATTTAAAAAAAAGGTTAGAATGGGCTTAACAATTTAGTAAAAAGGAGGGTGTTGAAAGCATACTGCTTAGGTCCAGAACAAGGAATTTGTGGATCTTATGTGAGCAACTCAGGGGGGATATTGTAGGGATGCAATTCTGGACGTTGGATGGAGATGAACATGATCTGATGATGATCTGATGGTTGAGATGTGAGGTGTATCACACGCGTGCTTGTCTTGCTTATACTGGATCTGAAATGAAAATATGGAATAATATGCCAGGGACAGGGATCGAACTCGTGCCTTGGCACACTAATACCTTAACACACACACATGCTTACTGCTAAGGCGACTGTTACATCCGTTTATAAAAACAATTTCAACTAAATATAAAACAAGCCAAACTTGCTTAGAATTTCGCAAGGAATCTAATGGTATTATTTTCTGAAGCTATAACTCAAAGATTTTCACGAATTTTCTATTGGTACCAAACGAAAACCTAAATGTTCATAAAATTCAATTTCAAAATTCTCATCCCACGATCAATAAAAATGAAATTTAAGGACGTGATTAACTTCATAGACATGATATCTACATTTTTTCTTTAGAATGTAAATGCAAATGATGCTTGAATAAGGATTTCAAAGTTTGAAAAATGTACCAAGTTGGAGAAAGTCAAACGCTTCTTCAAGTACTTCCAAAAGTAAAATGATGATTGCTTTAGCTTGTTGGGACCTTGGTGAGTGTATTGCAATCCTTACTTTGCTTTGAGAGTTACTGCAATGCTCTGTTCAAGTTAAGTTGCAAGGATGGAAATTGAAAATGGTGAATGGTGATGGAGTGATTACATAAGTAAAATAGGTGTCTGGATCATTTTTATATGATGTATATGAAGTGTTTGGATGATTTGTTTGGACAAAACTTGCAAGGTTTAAGTGATTAGAAGATTTAGACTTCAAATCTCAAAAATAAAGTTTTTGTGGACAAATCATATTTTTTAGAGTATGAAAGGTTTAGGAGGCTTGTGATTTCGTCCTCATAAGTGCAAGGATGACCTCTATTTATAGGGAAAGGTTGGAAGAAATGAGAATATCAGTTTTGAAAGTTGAAGAGTTATTATTTGCATAAAAAAGCATGTTGCTTCATGATGAAGAAAATGAATGATTCAAGGGACTCTTGCCAAGCTTTTCAGACTTTGTAGGTTACTTCTGATATTAAGATATTTGTTATGATCTTTAGAACAAATTTCAAGCTTGAAATAAGAGAGTGGTTAGCAAAAGGTGATCTTTATCAAAGTAGAAATGTTACTTTTTGCAATTTCAACCATAAGTGGTATCAAGACTTGGACAAAGCATCAAATCCTTGTGTAATACACTTAGGGCATGTGTAATTACTTAATTATGGAGAGATTTGGAGATAACATAGCCTGAAAAGAGAGATCTTATAGCTTTGGTTGGAGTTTTTGCCATAAGGTCATCAAAAAATGACTTATGATTCAAGTTTGAATGGCCAACTTCATCTCTTCGAATCTCTCAGTTCACGTATGATCTTTTCATGCTCTTGGATATTTTGGAAATATTGAATCAATCTCCACTAACTTTCATGTTGACCATTTTGGCAGAATCAAATGGGAAATTGGTGAAAATTGGCCAAGAAGTTGAGATAAAAAGTTGATCCAAAATATTTATAAGTGTTGGGTAAAAATATCAGAACTTTATGGGCCTATATCTACTAATTTGAGAAGTTTTTGGAGATCAAACCTCAAGGACAAAGTTGTAGAATTCATTAATCTCTATAACTTTCATGTTGAAAGTTTTCTTTGAATCAACTTGCATCTTAGTGAAAAATGGTCATGAAGTAGTGACTTTGTTAGGAACAAAACACTAACACTTAGAAATTTTTCTAAGTGTTGAAATTTTTTCTAACTTTGACTTTTGTTGACTTTGTTGATTCTATTTAATAATTTTGAATGTTTTGATGATTCTTAATTTTTGAATTCCAATGTTGACCAAAAGTTAAAGTTTGACTTTTGGTGACTGTTGACTTTTCATCAATTGATTCAATTTTTCAACTATCAATCACTTGTACCTTTAGAAATGTCTTGAGCCATATAATTAGGTCAAGATGTTGTATTTGAGTCCTTAAGATCATGCTTTAAGGCATTAGGTCACTCACTAGGTCAAAAGTCAATGATCAATCATCCTCAATCAAAACCCTAATTTTGACATTTTTTGTCCTTTGATGATTTGAGTGCTTTCCTTGAGGAATCATGATCAACCCTTGATCAAATGATGAATATCACTTCAAAATGTTGATGTTGACCTAAAATATTGAAGTTTGATTGTATGTTGAACATAATTGACTTTTGACTCAATACAGTTAATTTTCAATCATCTGAGCAATTGACTGAGCAAACTTGTGATGCAAGACTTGAAACTTGGCATGAACATCCTTAAAGACATATGAAGAACCATGGAAACCACTCGAGATCCTTGAAACCCAAACATCCTTGAGAAACACCAAACCTTGGTTGTGGACTCATTGCTTAGGAGGAGATTTTTGACCAGTCAACTCTTAAGTAGCTTTGAGTAAATGGGGACCTCAAGAGAATGTCTTGAAGAAAATGGGAGGGCAAATTTTGGGGTACAACGGTTGCCCCTGCTAAATCTTCTTAAACCTGAAGAGTTAGATTGACATGTCTTCCATTTACGACTTAAAGGTAGAAGATGATTGAACACTTAAGCTCCCATAAATTTGCACTCGCTGGTGCATAAAGTAACATCGTTGGTTGATTATACCAGAAATAGGCTTAAATATTCCGTTTGG